GAGGAGCAGATAGCCAAGGCCCGGCCCGGGCCGCACCAGGACGCCCGGCCAGCCCCCCGCCGCAGAGAAGCCACACCCATTACAACCCCACCACACTGCCAGCGACCAAGTGCACCCCCCAGCCGTCTACCCCCGGAACCCAGCAGCCACCCCGGCCAGCGGGCCACCCACAGGAACCAAGAGCCACACCTCAGGAGACCAAGCAGCACCAGGGAGGACTGAGAGCCAGCCCCGCCCCCGGCGACCGTCCAAGCCCCGAGCCCACCCACAGCCCAGGACCGCACCCGGCGGTCCGCCCTTCTTCAGGACCCCCTCCCCAAATGGCAGTCGGGGAACGGGAAGGGATAAAAGACCCTGACACCCACACCCCCACCCCCATATGTACTGTTGAAAAAAAAAATAAGAGTAGAAAGTTTCAAAATAAAATCTCTAATGCAAAATCTAAAATTTAAATCTTTACAGCTCTGAAAATTATTAATTAAGATTTACACCAGGAAGTGCTTCAGCCAGCTGCTGCTGCTGTTTGTGGTTACGTAAAATAGATTTTTATACAACACCTTACATATTCTCAGGAGAATCCAAACCTTTAAGCTTTTATTTATCTGTTTGTTTGTTTGTTTATTTCAGATAAAAGAGAGTAGAGCACCAGAGGAGGTCAGTAAGTCAGGAGGAGATGATAAAAACACTATCGTTCATCAGATGTGATACCGGATCAGGACTCAGAGCCAAACAGTCTGGACCTGACAGAGAACCGGGTCAGACAAGAACTAATCAGAGTCCTTGTTCTGCATGKTGAGGTTCTGATAAACCCGTTACATAACGAGCAGTACATCAGATCAGATCAGGTTATCAAACCCACGTCACAGAAATCTGGTTTCAGGAAAATACAGCTGAAGTCCGGTCTTTGTTTGAACATGACGGGTTCTCAATGACTGGGTCGGGGGCCATCTGTGGGTCAGAACACACACAAAGGGTCAATAAAATGTAGAAACATAAAAAAAACTGTTTGGTTTTAATTGKTGAAACACCGTTTCATGGAGCTTAAAGCTAACAGTAGCTATTAAGTGATCTAAATGCTAAAAGTAGCAAAAGACAAAACAAAACTTTAGCTACAAGCTAAACTTTGAAATAAGTTAGCTAGAGGCTAGCAGTAAAAAGTTAGCTAAAAGTAGCAAAAGCTAAGCTGAAGCTAGCAAAATTTAGCTAAAAGTATCTAAAAGTAGCAAAAGGTTAGCTAAGAGCAGAGCTAGTTAGCTAGTTTTGATGTTTGTGTTTTAAGCGTCTGGATTAGCAAATCAAGAAAAATGTAAACAAACAAATAATAAAAAACAAATGACTGCAATAATTAGCTGAAGAAGCTAAATCAATCATAAGTTAATGCAGAACATATCAAAACACTAGCTAAAAGATAAATGCTAAAAATAAAACACTAGCTAAAAGATAAATGCTAAAAATAAAACACTAGCTAAAAGATAAATGCTAAAAATAAAACACTAGCTAAAAGATAAATGCTAATAATAAAACACTAGCTAAAAGATAAATGCTAAAAATAAAACACTAGCTAAAAGAAGAT